CCCTAATTGGCATTCAACGATACGTCTTACTGTGTGAAGATGGCTTTTAGTATAGTTCCTTTGTTGGTAAGGTAAACACGTGTGGTCCGGCTTTTGGTCCCGGAGGTCTCTGGAGGGAGTTTTTGTTGTTGTTGCAGACGTGCTGTGAAGCGTATCGTCCCGTCCGTCCGGCTTGATGTCACAGAGGGAAGAAGGCCGTTAATCCCACTTAGTTGAGCAAAGTTCAGATAGTTGAAACAACGAGCCTGGTGGAGCTCATTCGCGCAAGTCCTGCTTACGGGCACAGGACGTGAGGGGAGAAAACCCAGAAGAGGCAAAGAGCAGAAGAGAACAAGCGAGCCAAGAGAGTGCGCGCAGCGTTCCAATTGGTTTTTGTCTTCCGTCTTGTGGGCGGGTACGTTGTAGTCACTTCCTGTTTCCGGCTCTTTCACAACACAAAGGCTTTTGAGCATACAGTTTAGTGCAGTGTTTTTCAACCTTTTTTGAGCCAAGGCACACTTTTTTCACTGAAAAAATCTTGCGGCACACCTCCAGGAGAAAATGTAAAAATGTATACAGTACTAATGTAAAAATATATACTGTACATACTCTGTGTGATATATAAAATATATCTTATCTTATCTGATAATGTATACAGTATACTCTGTAGCCTATATTCACAATAAACAGTTATTCTCATCAAAATGCTTAAGTCTAGGCCTTGACATTAAGCTTTATTTAATATTTCTCAATACAATTAACAAGAGTTTGGGAATAAAGTGGCACTAACTGTGTGGAAAAAAACTAAGAAAATCCACTCTCTGCCCAAATAGTCAAATAATAACTCACACAAAGAACATGCATTGTTAGTGCATGGGAAAAATTTAGGATACCGAGCTTTAAATTCAGGAGTTTTGAATGAGGGACACGGAAGGTCCTGAACGCGAGTCCATGGTTCTGTCCGGTCCGCATGTCTGTGGTTCTGTCCACTCGACTATAGTCTGCGCTCGGTACCCAGTTCAGAAGTGCGTTCGCGAGAGCTGTTGTACAAAAATTGTACATTTCATAGTTAACCCTTTAGGCGCCAGAGTTTTTTCAAGAAAATATACAATTTTGATTTCAAGATTTCAAAAGGCTATAACTTTAAAATGGTTTGAGATAAAGGCATACTGTAAATTAGAAATATCTTCAGTTTGAACCAAACTTTGGGATGGAAGTTGATTCGTCATCTAATTTGCATATTGTGACGTCATCAAGGTGGCGGCCATTTTGGAAAATGTTAATTATTGTATAAAAACTTCAAAAAGCTGTAGCTTGGGAGTTTTTTTTAGATCAGGGAATACTATAAACAGTCAGTGTGAAATATCTTTAGTATGAAATGAATTTGGGATAGAAATAAATTCCCTGAATCAGATTATAGATAATGTTTTAGCACTGGTTCGCGGCCATACGGAATTGTATTATTTTCAAAGACCTTCAGTGATCAAGACAGCTCTCTTTATAGTTTACAGTCATGAAATCTGGAGTTTGGTTTCAATATTTCCCTTTCAAAGAAGTGGTGGGCTTACTATTTTTCTCGGTGGAAATGAGGCTCCTGGATTTATGGTTTAGAAACAGAGAGATGAAATGAATGGGCTCAGAACATGTCAGATTGTCTCAACAAGAAACAACAGGCTCTTCAACACTTCTGGTCCACTTTTGTGGATTATTTTCTCTCAAGAACTGCCTTGATCCTCATCATCGCTGTTAGTAAAGGCAGTGAACGCGAAAAGCGATGTGTTTTTTTCCCCGCGGCTCTCCCGCGACTTCTCCCGCGTCTCCCGTGTTCCCCGTGGATGTCTACCCCCGCTACTTTCTCCCACATGCCCGGTGTTATGATGCCCCTGTACCCTCGACCCCGGCCCCTGCTTGGCGTTCACAGAATGCTTCTACCGCGGCCACACGGAGGACAAGCAGCCGCTGTACAGGGGCTGATTGTGGACTATTTGGCGCGGTCTCCCCGTCACTAATAATGTCCGTGTCTGCTTCACTGGACACCTGTGTGTCTTCCTCCTCTGAATCTCAGTGAGCCACTACCAGACCAAGTACTTCTCTGGTACTGAAGACCTCGTGAGTAAAAGAATAAACCCTCTTTCCCTCTGCTCTGCTCTCGCTCCGCTCAGCTCTACCGCTGCTGCTTCGCCCCCGCGCCGCTGCGCCGCAGGTGTTTTACGAACTCAATTTACTCAAAAACTTTCAATATAACCACACCCACAAATGTTGCTCATATTACAGGCACACATGTCCACTAACCCCTGGTGAAAAGTATTAACAAGATTCTGCACCACATTTTTACATACAGCCTGTTTAAGTGAGCAATGTTGCTTGTCGCAATATTGCGACTTTGGCGCTTAAAGGGTTAAACCACTACAACGCGGCCACAGCTGCCCCGGGGCAGAGCGGAGGATGTTAATCCTGTTCAGAAACGGCATAATTCATTTTCAAAAACGTCTCTATCACTTTCACTTCTCACTCGCCACAAAGCTCTTGTCTCGCTCCCTCCCACATTTGTTGGTCGCATCCAATTTTACCTTTCTCGCCACAATGCTGACCTGTTACAGCCTGTGGTCGCATCCAATTTTTCAGTTTCAAAGTACTTAGCTATCTGCTGCCATCTACTGATTTGAAAAAGTATTACATGGTTACTCCACAGTTCAAAACAAGTCACCGCTCGTCAACAGCGAATGCAGTTATTTTAGACGAATTTCTCACGGCACACCAGACAATATCATACGGCACACTAGTGTGCCGCGGCACAGTGGTTGAAAAACACTGGTTTAGTGAGATGTATTAAACATAATTGTTTAAGGCACAAACACTTCAAAAGACATTGTGACTCACAATTCAATAAAGATGAATGACAACAGAGATGCAGGTTTACATTTGGAAGCATAGATGCATTTACAGTACACTTAAGTTTGAAATGTGTGTAGTCCTTTGTTGCCGCTAGGGGGCGCTAAAATCACAGTCTTAAAGAGTCCAAATCCCATTTACAGAGGGCGTCCTCCCCTGTGGTGAGACTGACGCGGAATGTCTTTGATGCTTGTCTGTCTCGATGGGGAAGACAGTGGTCACTGTTGGGACACTGTGTGCTTTGATTTAATTAGAGAGCCATGGTCTGTGTTAGGTGTTTGGCAGCGGCTGGTGGTCAGAATCTTATCCTACAGTCCCCCCCCACGAATTGGATGTACCTCACGACGAGGAACATCCAGGTCGTATTCGCTGAGGGTGGTGGCCGGCCCTCAGTTGGTGGTATCGTCTGCTTGGGTGCTGCCTGTGAGTGATTTGGGTTAGTGCATTTCTTTAGTCATGACTCAAGTGGATTCTAAGTGGAGATTGAAAGAAGGACAAGAGTGAGGAAACAAACATTGAAGGAGATTAAAACAAAAACCTTTAAGATGTAAAAAATCAAAATAAAATAAGATTTACAACTTAAATTTAAGTAAAAATTCAAAAATGGGTTGTACACCTTGGACGTATCCTCTTGAAGGTGAGGAGAGGTGAGAAAGAAAGGGAAAACGTAAAAGCAATAATAAATTAGAAACAAAAACAAATAAAAGTAAAAGGGGGTGCCTAGGTGGTGTTTTAGGTTTAAAGGACAACTCACCCTCAAATCCACTTTTTTTTGCTGATAAACGGTATAAATGAGTGTCCAATAGTGTTGTCTACATATCCTGGTCATAATTTTGTCACTTTGGTGCAAATGAGTAGAAAGTTAAACTTTCTGCCTAAAACCGTCTGTGAGGCGCCATCTGCTGGCGACCTGTATTACTACATTTGAATTTTGAATCTGGCGCCAACACTGGCGCGGCAGCAAGACCTGACGTCTGAAGCAAGACCTGACGTCAGCAGCCCCCCGCCCAGAGCTATATAAACGGCCCAGTCTCGTTCACGCCCCCTTTAGTCCTCCAGGCTACGCCCATTTAGAGGAAGATTTGAACAGGAAATGTGAGTGACGTAAGCTCCGAGGAGCGGGGGTGAGAACCACTTTAAGGCACGTTTTGGTGACGGTAGCTCGAGTGAGGAGAGAGTGCGGAGTAAAAGGACATTACTTGTAAGCACACATCTATGGAAGGCATTTGTTTTTGGTTAAATTGAATTATTTAGGAAAAGGGTTTATTTTGTAGAAGCCGAGGGGCTTGGTGAACCCTAGATCTCGGACCGTGGTTTTGGCTGGGTTTGAGCCAAGGTTTTGGTCTGTGGAACAGAAACGGGGTGTCCCGTCTCAATCTAAATCCCCAGCGGGTCTTCATACTCTGGATTGCAAGTCTGAAGTCACCTGTGCAAGCCTTTTTGCTACAACGTTCTTACTTTGCGCAGACCTGCGTTTGTTCACGCGCCTAAGGGAGGAGTCTATTGGTTTTCACCACTGTGGACACGCTCATGTTAAAGGGGATGTCCACGGTGGCAAACACCAGAGGAGTGCCTCGATAGGTGGTGTTGAGTACTATTATAGTGACCTTGAACCTCCTATCTGCTCCGGAGTGTGCTGTATGTTCTGTGGAGTGTAAGACAGAGTTTTAGAGGTTTGACAGTCAGGTTGGTAAGGTCTTTGGTTGGTTAGCTGAAAGGAGGGTTAGTAGACGCTTTAGCCTAATTGTGCTCAAAATCAGTGTGTTTTACTGTGAACCTTTGGTGTGTCCCCCTTGTCCCATGAGTGTGTACCTTGCTGTTGTTGCCCACCTCATATGGTTTTGACCGTTGAGGTGGCGGTTTCCGGGTCCACTTTGTTGGACTGGTCTGTCCAAGAGAGTTGGACAGGGGTGAGGGGTCATACCTGGTTTTTAATTTGGCACTGTGTGGTGGTCTGGCCAGTTGGGGCTGGCTGCGCACCAGGCGTCTGTTGATGGCTTTTTGTTTATTTGGCTGGTTTTTTACCTGTTGTGGTGGTTGTTTGTGGACACCTTTGTGTCCCGCTATGTGGGTGGGGCCCGGTGCTGTTTGTGGAATAGCGCTGGCTTCTGCCCTGTGTGTGCCTGTTTTTACGTGGTGTTGGCCTGTGGGAGTTGGCCCTGGTTGGCCTTACGTGCTGTTTTACGCAGCTGGTGGGCGGGGGCGCTCTTTAGTTTAGAATGTTTACCAACACTGTAGACTGAGGGCGCCTCCGGTGGTTTGTTGTGGGATCTCATTGTGTGAATACTTTGGGCTCTGGCTACCAGAGTCCTCAGCTGCCGCATGTTTTGTGTAACAGGGCATGCAGTCACACCTAGGAGAAGGCTGAGGCTGGGGTGGAGGTTTTGGATGAACAGGGCTTTAAAGTGTTTGTCCTCCTCCATATTTTGGTAATTTTGGTTACCGAAGTATGCCTGTCTCAGTCTGTGATAGTAAGCATCTGACGGCTCGTTACGGGCCTGTCTGACGGTTAGGGCTGCAGTGAGTGTACCAGACGTCCCAAAGTCAGAGTATTCGTCGAGGAGGGCCTGACAGAGATTGTCATAGTTTCGCCGTGTGGCGGGTCGGCTGTCTGTCAATAAAGTTATTAACTTCCCTGTTAGACGTAAGCTTAATTAAGAATACTTTGTCTTTTAGAGATGCATTGAGCAAACGTTTAGAGTAGAAGTCAATGTCTCTGAGGTACGACTGGGGGTCTGCAGGGTTTCCCGGTTGGGGTTCAAAGCGGTTAATGTGGCGAGCAATGCGGTCAAAGTCACGGTTTGTTGGTCCGGGGTAGTCTCGACCTTGTATTGGCCCATGCATTTGGCGCTCGCGGTGGCAGGCGGGAGTTGGGCTATAGGGGTCACGTCTCCTATAGTCTTGGCAGTCCTGTCGGCTAGTGGGCGGTACGGGTCTTACATCCGGGAAGTCTGGGTACCTGGGGCACTGTGAGCGGTCACTGTAAGAGTCTTGTCTGTTGTGACTTAGTGGGTCCCTGGGGGCTTCCTGGCAGTAGGCCAGTTGCCGGTAGCCGTGGTAGTCAGGTGGGTCCGGTCCTCTGTCTGGGGGTTCCGGTCTGTTACTGTATCTCTGACTAGGTGGGCAGTCATAGTGGTCGTAGTTTGACCTGGTCCAGTTTGGGTACCTACCATTTATGTCGGACCGTGTTGGTCGGTTAGGGCCTGTATTGGCCCAAGACGTCCCGCGGTCGTGGTTTTCCTGCACGTGGGGAGATTCAAGTCTTATCTGTGGGAGGTCTTCAGTCGACCTCAGCACATTTCCTTCGGGTTTAGTCCTGGCGGGCTCTGGTCCTCCGTTTGTGGGGGGCCTATAAAAGTAGTCCTCTTTTGGGCTGTTAGTGAGGATACTTACCTGTGCGGCCAGGTGTCTTACCTCGGTTGAGGGTTGGTCCGTGTCCTGGGTGGACGTCGGAGCGTTGAGGCCGACTGTGTGAGGCTCTGCATGAGCACTGTCGGTTTCTCGACTGGGGCTGGCCTGAGATTGGGGCCTGGAAGTATCTCTGGCCAGGGGAGTCCAGAGTGTGTGACTCTGGGTCGCTAGTGGAGGTGGGGTTGTGTACAGCTCGGGCTGGTGGACCCCATTGTTCTCAAGGCATTGTTCCTTGAGGTGCGCGACAGTTTTATAAGTTTCAGTTAACTCACATGCAATAGCATCCCTTTCCTTTTCTATGGTTTGGATCTTTTCCTGGAGATCCCTAGCTTTAGCATCGCTTTCTTGCAGATACTGCTGGGAAAGTATGGCTAATTTACCCAGCCACTGGGTGAGGTTCTTACCTTCAAGTGTATTTGTCATGGCGTCAGTCGCCAGGTCTCGAGCGGCCTGCTCTAGTGTGGGGGCCGTAGCCTTATCAAACTGGTTCCAGGTCCCTGGAATCAATTTAGCAGCAAAGGTTTGTAAAAGGTTAATTACAAGATCCTTTGGTTTCCGGTTTGGCTCTGAAGTTACACAGAAGGGTCTGGAGGGGTCCAGCTCTTCCATGTTGGGGTGACAGTGTGATGTGTTTTGTTGTGTGTGTGATTTTGAGCACGTATTAGGTAGCTTTTGGGTTAGTGCGAACAGGTTCTAACAGTTTTAGACCAGCGTGGGAGAGAGCGGATTAAACAGCAGTGGTTTGAGTTGTGTGTGCGTGTGTTTAGAGGCGTCAGTCCTGGGGCAGTTGGGTTTGCGTCAGGAATAGCTTGTCATATCACACACGCTAGTCAGTTGTTAGCTTGTTAGTAGTTTTAGCCAGTGGTACATGCAATGATTAGGTGTAGATAGCATGCACATTGAGCTTTAGTTGCTAGCTGTTGGTTGCCTGTGCAGTGGTTAGCTGTCAGCGTGCTAGCTGGTGGCTGTGGATAGCCTGCGCGCTGTTAGCTGGGGTAGCCACTGTGGTTAGCTGGTAGCGTGTTAACTGGTAGCTGAGGCTAGCCTGCGCACTGCTATTGCCTGTAGCGTGCTAGCTGTGGATGGCCTGCGCACTGTGGTTAGCTGTTAGCGTGCTAGCTGGTGGCTGTTGGTAGTCTGCGCACTGTGGTTAGCTGTTAGCGTGCTAGCTGTTAGCTGAGGGTAGCCTGCGCACTGTTATTGGCTGTAGCGTACTAGCTGTGGATAGCCTGTGCACTGGTTAGCTCTTCGCGTGCTAGCTGGTAGCTGTGGGTAGCCTGCGCACTGTGGTTAGCTGATAGCGTGCTAGCTGTTAGCTGAGGGTAGCCTGCGCACTGTTATTGGCTGTAGCGTACTGGCGTGGGTAGCTGTTAGCATGCTAGCTGTGGATAGCCTGCGCACTGTGGTTAGCTGATAGCGTGCTAGCTGTTAGCTGAGGGTAGCCTGCGCACTGTTATTGGCTGTAGCGTACTAGCTGTGGATAGCCTGTGCACTGGTTAGCTATTCGCGTGCTAGCTGGTAGCTGTGGGTAGCCTGCGCACTGTGGTTAGCTGATAGCGTGCTAGCTGTTAGCTGAGGGTAGCCTGCGCACTGTTATTGGCTGTAGCGTACTGGCTGTGGATAGCCTGCGCACTGTTGGTAACCTGCGCACTGTGGTTAGCTGTTAGCGTGCTAGCTGTGGATAGCCTGCGCACTGTGGTTAGCTGATAGCGTGCTAGCTGTTAGCTGAGGGTAGCTTGCGCACTGTGGTTAGCTGTTAGCGTGCTAGCTGGTACCTGTTGGTAGCCTGCGAGTGCGCACTGTGGTTAGCTGTTAGCGTGCTAGCTGGTAGCTGAGGGTAGCCTGCGAGTGCGCACTGTGGTTAGCTGTTAGCGTGCTAGCTGGTAGCTGAGGGTAGGCTGCGCACTGTGGTTAGCAGCGGTGCTAGTATGCAAGAGTCAGCAGTTAGCACCGGTGTAACGCCGAGATTCACTGTCTTGAAGAGATGCACTGCCTCAGCTGTTTATGATGTAATGCAAACCTGTGCATGCGCGACTCACGGCAACCGAAGCATACCAAGATGGCGGACCGTGAATTGCTTTAAAAGTTGAAATACGAACGAATTAAGACACGAATGTCACTTTTAATGCAATTTGAGGCGAGATGTGGATGGTTCCGTTTTGTCACATGTGGGTTTTAAGAGTCAAAGTTTTGTGCAAAGTTTAGTTTAAGCAGTCAACTGCGTCTGTGAAACCACAAAGCTAATGTTTTCATAGCAGTCCGCGGCTGCTGACGTAGGCTGATGACTCGTCCTGTGGCCACTCTACACTCTTACACTGGTCTGTCGGGTTGATAATGGAAATAATACATTTCATTCAATACATGTATCGTACTGTATTTAATATGATTAACAATAGTGTGTTCAAACAAAATATTTAATTAGATTGATTTTTTTCCCCATTTTCCATTATCAACCCGACAGACCAGTGTAAGAGTGTAGAGTGGCCACAGGACGCGTCATCAGCCTACGTCAGCAGCCGCGGACTGCTATGAAAACATTAGCTTTGTGGTTTCACAGGCGCAGTTGACTGCTTAAACTAAACTTTGCACGAAACTTTGACTCTTAAAACCCACATGTGACAAAACGGGACCATCAACATCTCGCCTCAAATTGCATTAAAAGTGACATTCGTGTCTTAATTCGTTCGTATTTCAACTTTTAGCAATTCAGGGTCCGCCATCTTGGTATGCTTCGGCTGCCGTGAGACGCGCATGCACAGGTTTGCATTACATCATAAACAGCTGAGGCTGTGCATCTCTTCAAGACAGTGTATCTCGGCGTTACACCGGCGTTAGCATGGGTAGAGTAAGAAGTTAGCCTGGGAGCAGGGAGTTAGCATGAGCAAGTTAGCTGTTAGCGTTTAGCACGTTAAGTGTTAGCAGAAGCAGAGGTTAGCTCATAGCAGAGTTTAGCTTTTAGCAGTGTTAAGAGTTAGTACAATAACAGTGTTAGCCTGGCCAGTGAATAGCTTGTAGCGTGTAGCACAACAGAGGTTTAGCATTAGCACAACAGCAGAGTTTGCATCACCCATTCATCAGCACAACGTAAACACACATTCAGTCGTGTTAAGGGGCGTTCACACCGGACTTAACTTCGGCGTCAAAAGCGTCAGGTTTGCATTGAAAGTGAATGGTGAAGCGCGTCAGGTGAAGCCGAGGGGCCCGGCGTCACTTGACGCGCGTCAAAAGCTTCAAAGGTCGCGCGTAATACGCGCTCACTTGAAGCTTTTGACGCGCGAATCGCTCGCGTATCACAACAATCCCTTTGACGCCGAAGCTGAGCAAAGCTGAGCTTTTGAAGCTTTGACGCGGGCTTCAACCAATCAGGAGACAGGGTCGCTCTACGATGAAGCCGGTGGAAGCGGGAAACAAAATCATATTCGAGAACATGGAGGAGAGCTTAATCGTGGCGATTAGCTCTCGCCCAGAGCTTTACGCTGTTTCCAGCCCGCTATACAGGGACAGGAATAGAAAGGACCTTACTTGGAGGAGGATAAGCGAGGAGATCGGGTACGATGGTAAGTTATGTAAAGAATTCATATCTGTATTCCATGTTTAGTAAACTCCGGTCAGGAGTCGTACAATGTACAGTCGCTATGATTTCTGTTCCCGCTCACAAGTCCATTTGTTCATATAGAGAAAGAAATCAAAAAGAGGTGGAAAAGCCTGAGGGACAGGTTCATGAGGGAGTGCAGGAAGGAGAGGAGAGGAGGCGGATTGGTGCAGCAGCAGGGACAGTGCAGAGGTGGAGGTACTTGGCATCGCTCTCCTTCCTCGAGCCCTACGTAACACCGAGGCCATCTACTGGTAACATGACAGCACACAGGGCCGAGGAGGAGAGTGCGTACAGCCACCTCCAAGAGGAAGAACCAGCAGCAGCGGAGGTGTCAGTTGCAGGAGGTCTGTAGCTAAAACAATGTATTGAATGAAGTCATGCAGCTGCCCACTAAACTGTTTTGTTGTCATTGTTTATAGCAAGGTTATTTATGAGTATTAACGTTCTTAATAAGCAACTGGCAAAATAAATGTACATATGCTGTAAACTAATGTCAGATGTAGGTGTGTAGCTAAAACAATGTATGGAAAGAAGTCATGCAGCTGCCCACTAAACTGTTTTGTTGTCATTATTGTTTATAGCAAGGTTATTTATATGAGTATTAACGTTCTTAAAATGATTGTACACGTGCTGTGAAGTGAAAGTAATTTATTTAATAACAGATGACGCTGATACGGAGTCAAGTTCAGAGACAGAGCCGAGTGCTGGACCGTCCTCGGCCTCTGGACCGTTCTCGGCTCCTGGACCGTCCTCGGGTCCTGGACCGTCCTCGGCTCCTGGACCGTCCTCTGCTGCTGGTTCTTCCTCTGCTGCTGGTTCTTCCTCTGCTGCCGGTCGTTCCCCTGCTGCTGCACCTACAGGTGTGTAGGAAATCAATTTTATTGTTGTGAATGTATAAACGTTATATTAAAGCAGCAGTAAGCGATTTGGTCGTTTCCGGCAGTTTCTTCTGCCTGAGCGAGTTAGTAGCCCCGCCCCCGTCTCCTCGTCACACCACATGAACGCGCATCGTCTTGGTGATGGCAGCAGCATGTTCATCTCCGTCAGGTCTACTCGTAAGTATATTAACAACAAACTCTGGGAGTGAAATATTAGCATAGAATAGCTTAGTTGTAACCTAGCTATAACACTGGAAGCAGCTTGGTGTTAGCTAGGATAGCATCACTAAGAAAGAGATAAAAACAATCCAGTCTTTTATAGAATAATACTGCTTTTATAGTTGGTACACTGATAACTGTTGTGATAAACATAATGTTGCAGATTGCAGTGTGACGTGTCTCAACATTATGCACTGTAACATCTGTTACAGTGCATATGTATTAGATGAACTCCACATCCACCTCTGCCCCTTTGCACTGTGGAGTTCCCCAGGGCTCAATTCTTGGCCCTTTGCTTTTTGCCCTGTACCTCCTCCCACTTGGTGACATTTTTAAAAAACATGGAATGTCTTATCACTTTTATGCTGACGATTGTCAGATTTACATGCCTTTGTTAAAAAATGATCACAGCCCCCTGACGCCTCTACTCAACTGTCTGAGTGACGTCAAGGATTGGTTGGCTCAAAACTTTCTTAAACTCAATGAAAATAAGACAGAGGTTATTTTATTTGGCCCTAGTCCCCCCCTCATTGACCTGGGGCCCTTAAAGGACCATGTGCGCCCCACAGTCACCAACCTTGGCGTCATCTTAGACAGTGATTTTAAACTTGATAAGCAGATTAATCGCGTTTTAAAATCAAGCTTTTATCATTTGCGGCTTTTATCTAAAGTCAAACCTTTTTTATCTTTTAATCTTTTTGAGCAGGTCATGCACGCTTTTATTTCGTCACGCCTGGACTATTGCAATGCACTTTATGCGGGCATCCCCCAAAACGCACTTTCCCGTTTGCAGTTGGTCCAAAACTCAGCGGCACGACTTTTAACAGGAAGCAGAAGGCGCGATCACATTACACCAATTCTGGCTTCGTTGCACTGGCTTCCTGTTCATTTTAGAATCAATTTTAAGATTTTATTGT